TATCCATATGGAGACAACCATGCGGGCGTCACGCCGCAGGGGTCTCTGCCACAGCCCCGACCCCCGGAGGACACGTGGGCTCCCCACACTGTCTACGGGGTGCAGCCGCGCTACGCGTGGCCCGCTGCTTCGGCGCACGGGAACCCCTTCGTCTCCGAACCGCATCCGCCCTGGACTGGCAGTGGAGATCCTTCCCACCCTCCCGCCTGGGACTCGAAGGTACAGCTGATGCTTCTGCAGCGCGTGGCCGTGCGGGTCCTGGCTGCGGGCAGAGCTCCGCGATGATGCGGCTTTTCCTCCAAACCTGCCTGTCTCCTGGGAATGCCCTTCTCTCCGGGCACAGTTGGTTTAGGTAGGAACGGAGCAGCAGGTATCCAGAGTTGTGCCAGAAAAATCTGTTTGCTTACAGAAAACCAAAATCCATGGCTGTAATTCCAGAAAGGTACTGGAGATGCCAGACGTCCCAGGGCAGGTCTCGGGATGGGTCAGTCCTCGTCTTGCTTGTCCAGTTCTTCCCTCTCGAGCAGCAAACACCGTCAGAAATCCTCCAGCGCAGCCTGCGGGTCGGTTTGCAGACTGGAACTCCCCTACAAGTGCTTGTTTTGGGCACAGTTATCCTCTACTGAGGAACATTTTAAGCAAAAAATGTAAGGACACGATGCATTTGGTGGAGTCTGTTTGTCTCGGCCCCCTCTGGGTTTGTTCAGGAGTCAAATGACTCTGCAGAGGTTTGGTCCCCCGGCAGCAGCGCTGGCACGTGCAGCAGCAGCCCCGATGGGATGTGTGGATCAGGGCCGGGGGCTGCTGTTATTTGGGATCAGCTCAGAAGTGTGCGACCTGCAAAGTGCTTGTGGTGTCCCCTGGCACCCCATTTCCTCAGCCCTGCTCGCCTGCCTTTTTAGTGCGAGATTAAAATCCCGTTTTTAAGAGAAATGCACTTAAATATTTTTTTTCTCCTTCTGACTGTAGGACACTGCGTACGACAAACCTGAGCAAAGCGCAAACCAACACAACTACTATTCCGACGTCAATCACCAGCACTCTGGGACCATGAATGACCACAAGGCACCCCCCTCCAGCCCCCAGGTGCAGTACAGCGCGCAGCCCCACATGTATGACACCGCGTCTCGGAAGCTTCCGGCTGGGAGCCGGGAGGTTGGCCTTAAACCTGGGGACCAGCCTTCAACTAATTCTGCAGCCATCCAGCCTGAGATTCAGAGAATCCTCCACGTTATGGGGGAGGCTGAGCAGCTGGAGCAAGAGGTGGATGAATTTGTAGGAAAAAAGACAGATAAATCCTACCGGCTTCTGGAGGAGATGTTGACCAAGCTGCTGTTGGAACTGGATTCCATCGAGACTGGTGGCCAGGACAGTGTTCGGCAGGCCAGGAAAGAGTCCGTCCACAGAATTCAGGCCATACTGGAAAAACTGGAAAGAAAGGGGTTGTGAAAGCGCATCAGCCGCAACACACAGCCTGTTGTTGAGGTTCCAAAGAGTTTCAGTTTTGTTAAATCTCAGCTCTTTTCTGCTACGCACTGTTGACAATGGAATAGCAATAAGCCCCGAGTTCAAACAAACGAATGAAACAAAACCACCAAAAAAACCCCAGAAGCTCAACCCCTAGAAATAACTTGGGAATGGACAAATGAAGAGAGGTCTGAAGCAGCAAACTGAATTGTTTGTTCGTTCCAGGCTTTGGAAAAGCAGCACCACCCGAGGTGCTTACGCTGTAGAGGTCCCCATGGGGATCCGCATCCTCTTCAGCAGCGGGAAGAAAATCACTGTACAAAGTTCCCCAAACCAGGTGCCTCCTGCAGCCACCGCAGTTCTTTAAACAGCTGGAACACTTGCCAGATGTTGTCACAACGGCACCGCCACGAGCAGCCACAAACCAGGACTCTGGGCTTGTCAGTCGCTGCGTGTATCTTCAGCTTCAGCTTCCTCGCCATAGAAACTCGTGTGCCGTCCTGGGGTTTGCTGGGTTTTAGGGCACTCGAGCAGCGACACTGAAGTGCTGCAGAAAGGGACCACGCTGGCAGCCCCAGCAACGCCAGCGGGTGTCACGTCGTGCTGTTCCTTCTGTCGGGAAGAGCTGGTCCCTGGAAGTCTCAGTTCTGCCACCGAAAAGGACAGGTACCAGCAGAGGAACGATGTCGGAGCAGAGCAGCCCGGAACAGCAGGATGCTTGGAAATGCTTTCCAGGTCACTTGGGTAAAAAATCCACTTTTTAATTGTAACGTCCTTCCACGTGCTGCGAGTTGTGTGCTCCGCCGCAGCGCCGCGCTGGAGGGGAAGGGAACGGCTCAGCCTCCTGGGCACAACATGTGGAGTGAATCATTACTGTGTGTGACGAGATAATAAACCTGACAACTTTTAAATGTTATTTTGTAATTAAGACGTCTCAAAGTCTCCTTTCTTTAAAAAGAAGCTGTGGGCAAAGGTTGTGTAACTTGGCCCTGCCTGTAACTGAAACCCCCGCCAGGCTGTCTCGGCGGCCAAGGTTGGGGGTGAATGCAGCAAGTCACCTCCAAGAATGCTTGTGTGGGGGGTGCCCCGGGGTGCAGCGGCCCCCATCGCCTCCCGGGCAGTGCAGATGCTCCAGCAGCCTTCAGCCGTGGCTCTGGGGCTGGCGGCCGTGTTTGGGAAGGGGTCTTGGTGCGCCCGAGGCCGGGAGCGCCCTGAGTGTGCAGCCTGCAGGGCACCCGCAGATCCCACGTCATTCCCAGACGGGGCTGTGAGCGCGGGACTGACCTTCGCAGCTCCTTGGATGTGTCCGTGATGGCGTGCGGCAGCCAGCTGGCCACAATGGCCGCGTCGAGGTGAGCCAGGAACGAGCTGGATGTCCCGGGATGGGGAAATGCTGGGCTGCTATTTTATTTCGTCCACTGTCAGGCAGAGAGCAGCCAGGCCAAGCCACTCGTGCTTCGGATACAGCGTGGGAAACGACTTCTGAGGATGGGTGGCTGTACTGGGAGATGGAGCAGATCACAGTGAGCAGACTGATGCCCTGTACTGGGTAGCAGCGCGCACGCGGAGCAGTGGCCCAGCCCCAGTGAATGCCACCTTTCTTTCTCTGATAAAGGCAGCAGTGTCAGCAGCATCTCCGGGAATTAATCCGTGCTTTTTTTGCCGCTTTTTGTGAAAGTAACTCGTGGTAGGGACGGTTTCCATACAACCAGCCTTGCTGCTGGTAGCTCTTTGCACCCTGAGGAATGAAGAGCAGCACTGTGGTGTTTCTACCGCTTTCATTTTATCTTATGGTTGAAAGTCTTGTTAAATGCTGCCTCTAATGTGCTGAAATCTCTCCCAAGAGACTGCTGCGGGTTCGTTGAATTAGCTTGACACAGTAATAACTTTGTTTTGGTTTTTTGAAAGGGAGTACAGGCAATGAAACCATCAGCCACTCTAAAGACATGCCTGGGTGGGGGCAGGGAGCTGAGCCCTGTGCTGCAGGACTGCTGGCGGACTCGGTCCCGGAGTTACACCGTCCTGTTCTGCTGATCCTTCAGCATTCCCTGCAAGTCCGTCTATCCAAGGCCATGAAGGAGATGCAGATGTAAAGGAGGAGTGTAAGTACTCAAGGAGACCTAACTTGTCACTTCCTAGAAAAGCCAAGAACTGCAGACTCCAGCCGGCGGAGCGGGACGAGGCGCCGGGCTCATCAGCCGGACCGCGCTTTGCCATAGGAAAGGCTGCGGCAGAGCCCGAGCTCTCGTGAGCTGGGAAGGAGCGTGCTGGTGATGCCGGAGGGGAGAACAGCCTCTGGGGCACTTCTCCTCCGTGCTCGGGGCATGGCTGAGCTCCGGGACCGCCTGCACCGGGCTCCGAGGCACTGGCTCCTTTCCGCAGTGCTGGAGGCACGTTTGATCCCTGTGACTCACGCTGGGGAGCGGAGCCAGCGCTGACCACACCGGGACCACCCTGCCACGCCGCTTCGCTCTCCGGCCTCTTCGGGTTCCGTACCAAGTCCAGGCCACGGTCTCACCACGTTTGTGCTCTCGAGGGAATTACCAAAGAACATTTCTTCCTCTGTTACCACATTTGTTTTTCTATTGGGTTGGCACGGCTGTTGGAATAAAGGTTTGGATTGCCTTTGTGCAGGACCTACCCAAAGTCTGAAATTCCTTGTTGCAAGAGATGGTGTAAGTCGTACTTCAGCAGAGAAGGTGAAATCCTTCGGCTCGTCAGTCGGAGCACAGTGACTCCCACAGCACGGAGAGCTGGAGAGGGGAGCTGGTGCAGCGGGCGCTCCTCCTTCGCACCCTTCCTAACAGCGGGTCTCCCCCAGCTTTGCCAATCAACCCCTACGCAAAACCACACCAAGAAGGGGCAGAACTGCCGCTGGCTTTAACCCCGCACGCCCCGCCGAGAGCTGCTGCCCCGCACAACAGCCCCGACCTGGGAGCAGGGCTCCCTCCCCGCTGCCCAGGGGCTTTCACGGCTCCTTCTGCTCCCATCACCTGACTCAGGTGGCAACAAAGGGCACCGATGTGCCAGCCGTGCCGCTCTTCTGAGGCAGAAGAGTAGCACTGCAGCGAGTCGCTGCTCGCAGGTACATGGAAAGCAGCAGCCGTCAGCTTCTGCTAGTCTGCAATCCCCGGAGCCGGCTGGAACGTTATTGTTTCAGCAGCGAGAACGGCATCAGGAACAAAATGCATTGTTTATTGCATCCTGTTTGCTACAACACCCGTTCCCTCCCCTGTCCGTTGCCAGGGAAAAGAGGAGGTAGGGAGGCTCCAGCTGCGCGAGGAGGAGTGCGGCGCAATCCCGACACCTCGCAGCTCGGCAGCGCCGCAATGCAGTCAGCTAGAAAAAACGGCGCGCTCAGCCGCGGCGGCGCC